GTAGAAGATATTAGGAGATTTACTAGCATTAGGATTTATATTATTGCATAGAATAGAAGATCTAGATCTATTAGGCTTAGATTTATTTTGCAACTATAAATACCCCATGTACCTCATCATTATTGAATGTCTTGAATTGAGTATTGAATTGGTGAGCCAATTTTGAGGGGAACTTTATGTTCTAACGTGTGATAAACAAGGCCATTAGTGCGTGTTTACATACAGTGTCGAAGAGAAGGCCCTGAGAGCGTCTCGAAGTCACAGTGTCTAGGAGAAGGCCCTGAGTGCGTCTGCTAGATACACCTATCGTGTCTAAACGAAGACCCTGAGTGTGCCGTTTATTCACAACCCGTATAGATAAAAATTCGGTCCGTCATCAGACTGTCCGCGTGCTGCCGTGCGTATTGGCATGCGCTGTGCACGCCTATGCACTGTCCTACGGTAGCACATAGCTGGCTGCTAGGCGCGGGATGTACACACGCACTGTTGGGCGTGCGCATGCTGCCTGTGCGCCAGCTGTCACTGTCGGTCGTGCCATGCGCATGCTATGTGCGGGCAGGCACTACGGTCGGCCTTTCGCCGGCCGTCCGACAACTTTTTCCGGCACCTCACATATGACTGAATATAAAATGACTTGAAATGTCTAAATATGCATAAATTGCTCGGGACTTGCCGGTTAGATTTTGAAATCACTCGGGAGGGCTTATATAGCACGTCCGGGTACGTTTTTATTAAAAAGGACCGAACAATATGACATCGACATGAGCTTATTACTATGAACTTAGATACATGAAAAGAGGATAAAAGGGAGTATACCCCTCAAATTGCTTGTGAAACGCACGGTAGCTTGCATGCTAGTTCGCGTGTTCGGCTATGTACGTGCTTTAGCAATAATTCGTGCAACTCACTTGCTTACTTACAATCTCTTTGTACTATATTTTTCTCTCTTTATTTTCTCACTATTTTCCTCACTTTGTTCGGACAATACTCAGTTTTGCATGGGAGAAACCATGCATGGCCGTACATATATATAGTAAAAAGGAGAAAGATAAATGATGGTAAAAGTCTTAAGGGTCAAAGGATGTGAAAGATGATGAATCCTCCCATGAACGCCACATGTCCTAGTCATGGGTTAAAGTGGCGTGGCCTCGCTGTTGGGTTCTGTTAGGAACGTCAAACAACATGCAC